AATAAACAAATGCCCACCAACAGGAGAATGGAGGAATATGCCATTGTGATGTTTAATGTTATGTATCCTCTTGACTGGGCCATGGTGTGCCAGGATATTAACACCCAAATATTATTTTGAGTATTTCTGTCAGGGTGTTTCAGGATGAGATTAGCATTCAAATCAGTAGACTGAGTAAAGCAGACTGCCTTCCCTAATGTGGGTGGGCCTCAAACACAAAGGCTGATTCTCCCTCACGTCAGAGAGAATTCTTTCCTGCCTGGCTGCCTTTCAGCTGAGATATCAGGCTTTCCATGCATTTGAACTTAAAATGAAACATCAGCCCTTCCTAGGTCTTGAGCCTGCCAGCTCAGACAGGAACAACACCATCAATGCTCCTGGTTCTCAGGCCATTGGACTCAGACGCTAAACTATTGGCTCTCCTGGGTCTCCAGCTGGCCAACTCATTCGGCAAATCTTGGGACTTTCCCACCACCATAGTCACATGAGCCAATTTCCTTATAATCTATCTATTTATATATACACATCCTATTGGTTCTGTTTCTCTGGAAACCCTGACTAATACAGGCATATTATATCAAATCAGATGGAGACATTTCAAAAAAGGAAAATTATAGGGCCACTCCATTCATGAATATGGATATAAAAAATCCTTAAAATATTAGCAAATCTAAGCCAAGAGGGTGTAAAAAAGCATTCATACCATTGCTTAATTGAATTTAACCCAGCTATGCAAAACTGGTTTATAAAACTGGTTTAATATTAGAAAATCCACGAATGTAAATCATTTTATAAACTGATTAAAAGAGAAAAAAACCATATTATAATGTCAATTGATTCAGAAAAATCCTTTGATAAAATCCAACTCTCAATCATAATAAGTACTTATAGAAAATGAAGAAGAGAAGAGAAAATCTGCAACCTAAAAAAAAAAAAAAAGGAACAGCTAGAGAAACCTCATCCTAAATGGGGAAATTTTGGAAGCATTCCTTTGAAGTCAGAAAAGCTGAGAATGCCCACTAATGCCACTTTTATTTAATATGGTATTGGAGATTTATACTGGAGATTCTACCCTGTACAAATACAACAAAGAAAAAGGATATTAGAGGCTGAGCACAGTAGCTGGTACCTATAATCCCAGTACTTTGGGAAGCTGAGGCCAGAGAATCACTTGAGCCCATGTGATTTCACTTCGAGACCAGCCAAGGCAACATAGTAATATCTTTTTTTTTCTGAGATGGAGTCTTACATTTTCGCCCAGGCTGGAGTGCAGTGGTACAATTTCAGCTCACTGCAACCTCCTTCTCCCAGGTTCAAATGATTCTTCTGCCTCAGCCTCCCAAGTAGCGGAATCACAGTCACCTGCCACCACACCCAGCTAATTTTTGTATCGTAGAGACAGGGTTTCACCATGTTGGCAAGGTTGGTCTCAAACTTTTGACCTCAAATGATCAGCCTCCCTCAGCCTCTCAAAGTGCTGGAATTACAGGTGTGAGCCACTGTGCCTGGCCAGCATAATAAGATCTTATTTTTACAAAAAGTAAAAAAATTAGTGGGACATGGTGGAACACACCTGTCCTAGCTATTACTGAGGCTGAGGTAGGAGGACCACTTGAGCCTGGGAAGTCAAAGCTGCAGTGAGCTGTGATTGCGTCACTGCATGCCAGCCTGGGTGACAGGGCAAGAATGTCTCAAAAAGAAAAAAAAATGATAGGTTGGGCGCCGTGGCTCACACCTGTAATCCCGGCACTTTGGGAGGCTGAGGCAGGCGGATCACTTGAGGTCAGGAGTTCGAGAGCAGCCTGGCCAACATGGTGAAACCCTGTCTCTACTAAAAATACAAAAATTAGCCAGGTGTCCTATCGTCCTATAGTAATCCCAGCTACTTGGGGGGCTGAGGAAGGAGAATTGCTTGAACCTGGGAGGGAGAGGTTGCAGTGAGCCGAGACCACACCTTTGCACTCCAGCCTGGGCGACAGAGCGAGACTTTGTCTCAAAAACAAAAATAAATAAATAAATAATAAAAAGAAAAGAAAAATAACAAATCCAAACAAATGTACAGATAAATTATTAGAAATATTTATAGCTGGCTATAGATTACCAAGCCAGTTGTATTTCTATGTAACAGCAGCAAACAACTAAGAATACAATTAAAACTAAAAATAGGCCGGGTATGGTGGCTCATGCCTGTAATCCCAGCACTTTAGGAGGCTGAGGTGAGTGGGTCATGAGGTCAAGAGATGGAGACCATCCTGGCCAACATGGTGAAACCCTGTCCCTTCTAAAAATACAATAATTAGCTGGGTGTGGTAGTGCGCGCCTATAGTCTCAGCTACTTGGGAGGCTGAGGCAGGAGAATTGCTTACACCCGGCAGGTGGAGGTTGCAGTGAGCCGAGATCGTGCCACTGCACTGGAGACAGAGCAAGACTCCATCTCAAATAATAATAATAATAATAATAATAATAATAATAATACAGGTGTATCGAGAATATCAAGTCCCTAGGAATAAATCTACCAGGTCTTCAAGATCTCTACAGACAAAATATTAAGGATGTCAATTCTCCTCAGATTGATCTGGAAGTTCAATGTGATTTCAATAAATATCTCAACAGAGTTCTCATGGAACTTGGTAGGTGCTTTTAAAACTTCTGTGGAAGAGTAAAGGGCCAGAAATAGCCAGGGAATTTCTGTAGCTGAAAGAAGGGAAGTGGTGCTTGGGAGGAGATAAAGGAGGAGAGAACCAGCTGGGGGCAGTGGCTTGAGCCTGGGACTGAGAATCCCTTGAGCCCAGGAGGTCAAGGCTGCAGTGAGATATGATTGCATCACCGCACTCCAGCTTGGGCTGACAGAGCAAGACCCTGTCTCTAAAATAAAATTTAATTTAATTTTTAAAAGAGAAGAGAACCAGAGGTTCACAAAGGGTTCACTGCCAAATCCCCTGAGGGACCTCTTTCAGCTGACAAATTTTTAGACTTCTAGACTGCAAACTAGGTTGGTATCTCCCTTTGCAGTCTGGAAGTACTCAATACTAATTTCACTTTATTAGAAGAATGAGGTTGGAAAAGGAGAGGAGAAGATCAAAAGGAATGTCATTCTACCCACAGTTCTGAGCATACAGCAAAACCTCAAATGAGCCAAAATCCCCTGCTTGGGGTTTCCATCTGCTGTATGGAGTTAAGGCTTGCTGGCTATGTATCTGTCAAAAAGTTTGCACAAGTGTGGGAGAGAGATAAAGGCAATGCTGTCAGTATTTATAAAAGAATCAACTCAGAACATCATAAAAAAAGAAAATAATTTAAATTTCACTCATAAGCCCAAGCATCCCAGTGAAAAAACTATTTTTATCTTCTGTTTCTTTATAGTCCTAATTTCTATATATAAATAGAGGCACACAATATTTTGCATAGTCATCACTTTAAAGACTACACAATATTCATCCACTGTTTCTCTGGCTTTGGACATTTCTGCTATTTCTGATTTTTTTTCACTGTCATAAAGAATGCTCTATACACATTTTGTGCAGTCACGTTCTCTCTCATTTCAGAACCAGGGTCAGAACGTTGAGAAGTATGCTAGGTTTCTAGTAATTACTTTTTCTATTTTCCAAATATTCTAGCAAGAAGCTGTACCTATTTCTCAACCTTTATAGATACCCTCTCCTATGGTTTACTTAATGTTATCTGCATAATGAGTACAGTTCCAGTTTCTAGAATTAATCTGGGAGAGTAAGAAGGGTTATTTAACTAGTTCCAGTCCTATAGCCATTGAAAACACAAACATTAATGATCAACCATGAGACAAGCAAAACACCAAAGACCACCCCACCCAGGCAAATCTCTGAAACACTTATGGTGGAGAATATTGTAAACTTTCATCATTGAGCTAATGAAATACCCTTATTTCAAATACTAAATCTTGGAGAAATAAGCCAAAATCTGGTAAGCCACCCTCTTCTGATGGAATAGCATTGAGAGAGCAAGACCAGAGATTAAGATTCTTCTTCAATGGATGAGAGCAGTGGAAGTGATGTGATAGAATGTGGTGCAGAGGATTCCCCCGAAACATCTGAGCCCTGGTCACACGAGCCCTGGCCTCATAAGGCTGAAATTACCTTTGAAGAAATCACCGTTTGACCAGACCATCCTCCTTTTGCTTTCTCCAGGCTAAGGAAATTGAGGCCTAGGCAGCTAAGACCGAACCAGGAATAACCATGAACTTGTATTGACCTTAGGGGAAAGCTGTCTGCATTGGCTAGCTAGCTATTGGTTCGCATCGAAGTAAAGTGCAAATAAATAAGCCCAGTACATCTACCCAGAGCTCCCAAGTCAGTTCCTTGTGTCTTCCTTCTCCTTCTCCTTTTCTTTTTTTTGAAACAGGGTCTCACTATGTTGCCCAGGCTGATCTTAAACTCTTGGGCTCAAGCAATCCTCTCGCCTGAGCTTCCTGAGTAGCTGGGACTATAAGCATGCACCACCACGCCTGCTTTATTCTTAAATATAAACAGATGACAAAGATCAGATATTTCTGGAATCAACATAAGTGTCTATCAACAGATGAATGGATAAAGAAAATGTGGTACATATATACAACGGAAAATTATTCATCCTTAAAAAAGAATGCAATTTTGTCATTTGCAGCAATATGGTTGGAACTGGAGATCATTATGTTGAGTGATATAAGCCAGGCACAAAAAAAACAAATATCACATGTTCTCACTTATATCTGGGAGGTCAAAAAGAGGGTTTCATGGAGGTAGAGAGTAGACTCGTGATTACAAGAGGCTGGGAAGGGAAGAGGAAAGGGCAGATGAAGAGAAGTTTGTTACAGGGTACAAAAATAAAGTTAAAGAAACAAATTCCAGTATTTGATAGCACAGTAGGGAAGTTGTAGTTAACAATAACTTATTATATATTTTAAAATAGCTAGAAGAGCTGTAATGTTTACAACACAAAGATAAATATTTGAGGTGATGGATATGCTAATTACCCTGATTTGATCATTATACATTTTATATATCTATATATCTGTCGAAATCACATGTACTCCCCCAAATATGCACAATGATTATACATCAATTTAAAAAAAAATTTTAAGAGAATGACCAAGATCAACTAAGAATAAGATGTTATATAAAACAAAGGAAGTGATGGGGGATGTTATTAATGGAGGAGGCAATGCATGTGTAGGACATGGGGTGCATGGGCTATCTGAGCACCTTCCTGTCAATTTTTCTGTGAACCTAAAAGTGTTCTAAAAAATAAGTCTATAATATGTTGAGGGACAGGGAGGAGGAGGAAAGAAAAATCAGAAGCCAAGATGAGTTATTGGACATTACAAATATTTGCCACGTTTTTAATGAGTTTAATAGAAGAGCAGGAGATAAATGCATATGAATCTCCTAGGACGTAGAACAAAGACAAAGAATTAGAAAATATGAGAGAAGGAAAATAGAAATAAAGGATCAATCCAGAAGGTACAACCTCTAACAAAGAGAACTTTTTAAAAGAGAAAACTAAAGACAAGAAATTATCCAAGGATAAAGACAAGAAATTTTCCTAGATGTTAAAAACCAAGTTTCCAGATTAAAAGGTCTACCAATTTCCCAGGACAAAGATAAAAGACTCATATCTAGATATAGCATTGTGAAATTTCAGAAACCCAAGGATAAAGACAATATTCTGAAAGCTTCCAGTGGGGAAAACAGATGACTTCCGAAGTCATGGTCTGGACACAGAGTGCTTCAGATCCTCTCATACTCTCTGCTAAGTCCAGTTCATCACAGGGTCTTTGCAGCTGTCAACTCTGCAAAGATTCGGTACAAGAGGATTAGGGAAGAGCTACAGTTCCTGCTGCTGCAGCTGGTCTCAAAGCCATAATTGATATTTATCGTCTCCCTGTAATATCCAACAATACAGCGTTATTATTATTGCTTTATACAATCATGCCTTTTAGAAAAGCTAGAAGGAGGAGAAAATATATAGGATTTTATATTAAGCTACATGTTTACCATTTCCAGTATGCTTCATTTTTCTCTTTGAATTTTAGGTACAACTAGAGCCATCTCCTTGCTCAAATGTAGCTTCATTCCTTCCTTCCTCCTTTGTGCCATTATTGTTACGTAGATTACATTTTAATGTGTTATAAGTCTAACAATACTTTATGTTTATTGTTTTATGCAGTTGCCCCCCTTTTTTTGTTTTTTGTTTTTTTTTAGATAGAGTCTCACTCTGTTGCCTAGGCTGGAGTTGGAGTGCAGTGGCACCATCTTGGCTCACTGCAACCTCTGCCTCCCAGATTCCAGCGATTCTCATGCCTCAGCCACCTGCGTAGCTGGGATTACAGGTGTGCACTAGCATGTCCAGCTAATTTTTTGTATCTTTAGTAGAGATGAGGTTTCACTATGTTGGCCAGGCTGGTCTCAAACTCTTGGCATCAGGTGATCTGCCCAACCCCACCTCCCAAAGGTGAATAGAAACTTTTCTATTCACCTATGGAAGGACATCTTGGTGGCTTCCAGGTTTTGGCAATTATGAGTAAAGCTACCATAAATATCTATGTGCAGGTTTTTTTTTTCCCCCCAGAGGTAAATGTTCAATTACTTTGGGTAAATGCCAAGGTGCACAATTGCTGGATCATATGGTTAGAATACGTTGACTTCTAGAAATTTCTATATCAATTGAACAATTAAATTGTTTTCAGGAGCTTGAGTAAAATATTTCAACTTGATTATTTAATTCCAACTCTTCACTCTTGTGAATCATTTTGTACATGCAGGTACCTTTGTGGGAAAGACTGCCCCATCACAATAGTTTGCTGGATAGCCAAGTGACATGTTGATTTGCCATGCAATGAAGCTTAAGTTTTTGGAAGAATTAAAAAAAAAAAAAAAAAAGAATACATTTACTTTTAGAAGAAACCATCAAGCTGTCTTCCAAAGTGGGTATAGCATTTTGAATTCCCACAAGCAATGAAAGAGAGTTCCTGTTATGCCACAAACTTGTCAGCATTTGCTGCTGTCAGTGTTTTGGAGTTTAGCAATTCTAGTAGGTGTGTAGTGATCTTTGCTTCTTCATGTTGATTGACAATATCATCGTCCTTTCATCTTCAAGACTTCTTGTAGTATAGTTTGAAGTTGGGTAATGTGAGGCCTCAGCTTTGTTCTTTTGCTTAGGATGGCTTTGGCTATTCAGGATCTTTTTTTGTTCCTTGTATATTTTAGAATATTTCTTCCTAAATCTGTGAAGAATGTCATTGGTATTTTAATAGGAATAGCATTAAATTTGTAAATTGCTTTGGGTAGTCTGGGCTTTTTTATCTCTTTCTTTCTTTTTGAGACAGTTTCACTCTTGTCCAGGTTGGAGTGTAATGGCAAGATCTTGGCTCACTGCAACCTCCATTTCCTGAGTAGCTGGGATCACAGGTGTCTGCCACCATACCTAGATGATTTTTGTATTTTTAGTAGAGATGGGGTTTTACCATGTTGGCCAGACTGGCCTCAAACTCAAAATCCCAATGTGCTGGGATTACAAGTAGGCAGATCATGAGGTCAGGAGATCAAGACCATCCTGACCAAAATGGTGAAACTCTGCCTCAACTAAAAATACAAAAATTAGCTGGGTATGGTTGCGTGTGCCTGTAGTCTCAGCTACTCGGGAGGCTGAGGCAGAAGAATTGCTTGAACTTGGGAGGTGGAGGTTGCAGTGAGCCAAGATTGGGCCACTGCACTCCAGCCTGGAGACAGAGCGAGACTCCATCTCAAAAAAAAGAAAATGTTGGCAAGGTGTGAAGAAAAGGGAACACTTATACACTTCTGGTGGGAATTTAAATTAGCTCAGTCACTGGAGAATATAGTTTGGAGATTTCTCAAAGAACTTAGAACTACCATTTGACCTAGCAATCTAATTACTGGCTATATACCCAAAGAATGTAAATTGTTTTACCAAACATACATTCACTCGCATGTTTATCATAGCACTATTCACAATAGCAAAGACACAGAATTAACATAGATGCCCATCAACAATGGAATGGATAAAAAAAAAAAAAGGCAGTACATATACACCATGGAATATTACACAGCCATTAAAAAAGAATGAGATCACATCTTCTGCAGCAACAAGGATGGAGCTGGAGGAATTATCCTAAGTGAATTAACACAGGAACAGGAAATCAAATATCACATGTTCTCACTTATAAGTGGGAGCTAAGCACTGAGTACACATGGACGCAAAGATGGGAATAATAGACACTGGAGCCTACTTGAGGGGGAAGAGTGGGAGGAGGATGAAGGTCAAAAAACTACCTATCAGGTACATCATTATTTATACACCATACCCCAGTGACATACAATTTACCCATGTAACAAACCTGCACATGGACCCCCTGAATCTAAAATAAACGTTGACAGAAAAAAAACTCATCTCTCTATCCTTCCCTTTGCCCTAAGTCCCTCAAATTCGAATCCCCTCAAATGGCTCAGATAATTGGTAAAACCAAATGTATGGGGAAAGGATCTGTAGCAATCTCTGCTTTTTTCAGGACCTACCTCCAAGTCACAAGACACAGACAGACACACACACACACACACACATCAATTCCATGACAAAGAAAACATAAAAGGGCCAGAGCATTGTGTTCTCAGACACGATTGTCAGAGAGGAACAGGGACACAATCAAAGATCTGTAGGAGACCAGATATTGACAAGTCTGAACTAGGTCCTCTGAAGAGAGGAAGAAGGATCTCTGAAGGTGAGGAAATTAGGCATGTCCCCTGAGGAGACACTGGTGTAAGGATGGGGCTGGGAGACCATCTGAGGGTTGGGGTGACTGAGGTAGCGGGGGTTATATGTCAAGAGGCAAAGTCTAGTTCTGTGCAAGAAATATTCCATATAGAGAGGTGGGGTCAGATCTGGAAAAAGAAAAACATCTAAAAGGACAAGAATCTCTGTTGGTAACAAGTTTCCTAGTTGAGTTTTTATTTTTATTTATTTATTTATTTTTAAGAGACCGGGTCTCACTATGTGCCCAGGCTGGAGTGCAGTGGCTATTCACAGGTGCGATCCCACTACTGATCAGCACAGGAGTTTTGACCTGCTCCATTTCGCAAACTGGGGTCCCCTGCTCCCAGGAGGTCACCATATTGATGCCGAACTTAGTGTGGCATAGCGATCGGCATAGTGCACTACAGCCCAGAACTCCCAGGCTCAAGCGATCCTCCAGCCTCAGCCTCCTGAGGAGCTGGGACTGCAAGCATGTGCCGCACCTGGCCCCAGTTGAGTTCTTATGCGCATCTAAGCTTGAGAACCACTGTGAGTAGAGGATAAGGAGCTGCTAAACGATTTTAAAGTGGAGACGATGTAACAGCAAAGTATTCTCTCATTAGTGGTGTCTTAACTCACTGCCATTCAAAATCTTCTTCCAGGGGGATTTTAACAATTTAAGGAGGATAGCTCAGGTCTTAGAAATACTTAAAGAAGTCGGGGCATGGTGGCTCATGCCTGTAATCTCAGTACTTTGGGAAGCTGAGGCGGGAGGATCCCTTGAGCACAGGAATTCAAAACCAGCCTGAGCAACATAGGGAGACTCTGCCTCTACAAAAATTTAAAAAAATTAGCTAGGCATGGTGGTGTATGCTTGTAGTCCCAGCTACCCAGGAGGCTGAGGTGGAAGGATCACTTGGGCCCAGGAGCTCGAGGCTGCAGTGGGCCATGATTGTGTCACTGTATTCCAGCCTGGGTGACAGAGCAAGATCTTGCTTCTAAAAAATAAAAGTTCTTAAACAAGTATATATTAAATAGAAGCTTTTACAATTTTGCCTGAAGATCAAAGATTGGAATTTACTCCATATACAGAGACGTTAGCTAAATACAAAAATTTCATTACCCTAATGCTAAACAATTTAAAAATTCTAAGAGCCAATTAAGAATGTTAGAAAAATATAATCAAGGTATAAGATGATGAAACAATTAAATTAATAAGTAGTTGTTTGAGATCTGTATCGGTGGTGTTCAGAGATTTCAAGTGGAAACTTTCTCATAGAGTCATATAATTTTCAAACAAAAAGACTAGTTTTTATCATTATAACACATTTCAATTCACAAAAAATTTCATTTGAACAGCCGTGTTTATATTACTTTTGCATAGCGCTTTAGTTGTTCAATATTAGTGAAGAAATCTAAATTTTCACATAAAATCCAAATATGCCATGCTTAGAATTCCCAGTCTTGCATTCTATAAAAAATGCACTTATTACTACAGAGAAAAAATTAAATTACTTATTTTAGAATTAAGAGGAAATTTTAAATTCTTAATTATAATTTCATTTTAATCATTTTTGAGGTTTAACAGTATTTAATACAAAGGCTCCCAAATTCAGAATACAATTTTTAGAAGAATAACATCCATATAATTATTATTATTATTTAATCAAAGAAAGCAGGATGTAGTTGGTATTGGCCCCCATATTTTTGCTTGACCTAGAATCAGGGCTTATTCTATGACAGGATTAAATTTGATTTAAAAAAAAATCATTTCGAGGGTACTATTCTTGGCCAGGTGCAGCGACTCATGCCTGTAATCCTAGCACTTTGGAAGGCTAAGGCAGGGGATCAATTGAGGTCAGGAGTTCGAGACCAGCCTGGCCAAAATAGCCAACCTGGTGTCTACTAAAAATACAAAAATTAGTTGGCTGTGGCGGCACACACCTGTAATCCCAACTACTTGGGAGGCTGAGGCAGAAGAGTCACTTGAATCCAGCAGGAGAAGGTTTCAGTGAGCCGAGGTTGTGCCACTGCACTCTAGCC